GGATCAATTGGGATCATCTAGACAATATTTAGAGCAGAATATAAATTTTAAACTTTTTTATTATGATCAATATTTGTTAGCATTTTTAACTTTATTGTTATTTATATTACCAAACAAAGCTACAAAAACTATTATTATCGATTCTACTTATGGAACAAATCAGTTAAAATTTGAATTGTTTACAGTTCTTGGAGTTGTAAATGGTGCTGAGTTTCCACTCTTATATTTTTTTCTTGAACCAAAACATCTATTTGGTAAAATATAAGCAATTACAAAATGGTTTAAAAATTTAAAAGAAAATGAGATTCAAAATATTGAAACTATTCTGATAAATAAGAATCCTAGACAAATTACAACTGCTAGCAAAGTTTGGACTAAAGCAAGAATCCAATTATGTTACTAGTATGTATTTTGTATAATTAAAAAAAAACTTTCAAGTACTGGTATTGTGCACAATCATTATAATTCATATAAGACACATTTGCTTTGTTTAACAATTAACTCTACATGGCAACCAGATCAAAACCAAACATTTATAGATCTTACAAATCAAGCAAATTCATATGATAATTATAAAAAACAGGTTTTTTGCCAAAAAAGTTTTTGTAAAACAATTCTTTAAATAGTTTACATTCATCTTTTATGGCATTCAATTATATCAATAGAGAGTTCAAATTCATTAAATTTTTTAAATATAAACCAAATTTGAGACAAAAGTGTTAAGGAACAATACAATTATTGTTACAAAAATAATCCAAAACATATTTGGTGTTATTTATGATCAAAGTGGTACCATTCTGAAATATGAAAACTATGGGCACAGGTATCAAATCCAAAACTTAATGTTTTACAAAATACAATAGTTATTGAAAGCCATTGGTAAGTTTTGAAACATAATTTTTTTTAAAGTTATAATTATGCTTGACTTGATTTAATTATTTATATTATTATTGTAAAGGTTATATCACAACAAATTGATTAGTTACAGTTATTTCATAATAATCGGTATATGCCAAAGTAACAAGAAAATTTTTAACTTAAGTAAAAAAAATTGATTACTAGATCAGTTAATCCTAAATTTACTCATTTTACTGATTCTTTATATTAGATCTGTTCATGTTATAGCTTTCTATTAAGTTGTTTATATATATATAAATATCTAGTACAAATTTATAGTTCTATTGAACCAAAATTTTTTTGTAAGATATTATAAAAGATAATTGTCTGTTTTATCTAATTTAAACTTTATATTATTTTATTAATTTTATTTATTTTAAAGTAATATAACAAGAATATTATTTTTTATTAAAAGTCAAAAAAGAGAACACATTTGCTAACTTATCTGAAGATATTTGTATTCCTATTAAAATTTTGAATTCTTATATACTAATCTACAAAATAATAATCAAGTTCAAAATCAAGAATCTGTTACAATTAGTTCAAATGAATTATTAATAAATTTTGTCAATGATAATCAAGATTTAATCTTGTTTTAAACCCAAAAAAAAGATATTTTTAATTGATTGGATGAAATCAAAAATATTCTTAAAAAAAATGTAACCAATTCAAACAAATGATTAGATAGTATAGAAAAAACTTTAAATCACTACAAAAATTTGTAAAGGATTGTAAATGATTTGAGAGACAAAATCATATTTCAAATACTTGAAAAAATCAGAATAATAATATTTTTTAATTGTAATATTAAAATGTTTTATTTTAATTAAATAAATAATTTATATTATTGCTAATAACCTTGCATTTTATATAAATGTTTTTATTATAATGTAAAAATATTAATACATAGATACACACAAATTTACTATAAAAATTTGAAGTTTTGAATATAAACATGACATTAGAATCTTTAAAATTTTAATATATTATGTGTTGGTTGGCTCCTGACAAATCCAAACCAATATAAAGAAAATGTTAAGATATTTATAATTTAGTTTTTTGGTCTTAATTCACTCGGCTTCTGGTATAATTGCATTATTAATATCAATTAATAACTTGTATAATAAAAAAATCTTAAAAATAAAAAGTGAATAGTGATAAATTGTGATGATTATATATAATTTTGATATATAAAATGCAAAAATATCAATTATTAATATCTAATAATAATTTGTAAATGTAATATATTATTATTTTAGAGATTTTAAGATGTTTTTTTTGTATAAAAAGTTGGTTTTTTAAAAAAATTTTCTTTATTGTTTGTTATATGCATCCAATTAAAATGTTGATCATTGATCATGTGATTTTCAAAATTTTTTTGGATGATGATTTTACTCCTGATGGAGGTTTTACTTTGCTCAATAAGTAGCTGCGCAATGTTGTCACATGAACCAGAAACAAGAGAAATCTACACAGACACTATTTCAGGCATGGGAAACTATATTCTTTATTGCAATCCATTCCTAGTATAAGAAAATAAAAGAAGTTAATAGTACTTGCAATCTGAATATTGGTTTGAATTTCAGTGACTGAGCCTAAAAACCTATTACTAAAGTCAATATCTGACTGCTATATAATTGGTTAGTTAACATCACTCAGTTCTGATGAATTTGACTCAAAGTTCTGAGACCCTGCAAAAAATCTATGAAACATATCTGTATTTAGAAATGATTGAAAAATTCTTTCGATTAAATCCTTAAAGATCATTGATTATCATTTTATCTGCCTAATAAAAAATTGATGAAAAAAAATGAAAATTACCAAATATTTAGCATTGAGGCCTTTAAATTTATATTAGGACACTAATTTTTGTACCAAAAAAACTTATTTTTACTATCCTTTGTTATAGCATCTTCGATTTTACAGATGTATGCACTTATTTATATTTTTATTAAAAATATTGAATGATGAATAGTCATGCGAACCAATCAATTCCAAGATGTTGCATACAGAGGCATTTGTTCTTAGTACCTACCTTTTAAAGTATTGTTTAGGTGCTACACAAAGTCACAATGACAGATTACCCAATCATATGCTGAGAATCACACAGACACATTAACTTGTCTGCAAACTATACACTATGTTGTATGTTGTACAAACTCTGTTCCTGGTATAAGATGCAATTTCACCTGTCCTAGGATTATGATCATAGACTTTTAGCTGTGACATTTGTAGTAATACTTTTATTAAGATAATTTAGTCTTATATAAAATATTTTGTCACAGTTAGCTTTATATAAAATATTTTTGATTTATTGATTATCGATTAACCAATCAAAGTTTGCAATATCATGGGATGATCTTTAAAAATTAGCCAATAACAATAGAAGCCCACAGAAATCAAACTACTAACTTTTCTCTATAAAATTACTAGCTAAAAAACTACTTGAACTTGTATGATGTTTTACAGATATTTTATACAATCTACAGACCTTCGGTAATATTGTTTTGTGTCATTTCGTGATTCATGAAAACAGGAGTGACCGTTCAATTAGTAGATAATTCCAATATAGTGTGAAGTCCAATAATGTGATGTAAATACTCTGCAAGGACCTCACGTGAGAACGGGTATGATGATCAATTCCTCGATATAGATATCCTAGCAATTAATCGCATTAATGCGATTAATAATAAATCAAGAAAGTGGAATTAATTAGAGAAAAAGGATTAATTAGAGAAGGGGGATTTATTAAGTAAATGGGCTTAAGTAAATAAATTAGAGGAATCGAATTAAAATGTTTAATGAGATTAATGTAATTTATGAAGTTATAATGAAAAAGATATTATAAATAAAGGCCGAAATGGCCCTTTGGAGCAGCATGCTTCATTTGCTTTATTAAATAATAAATCTCAATACATTACATTGTATGTAATAAACACTAACACTATTACCGTTACAAACCCTGTGAACCCCTATAATGTTGCTGTTCAAGCCCTTGTACATGTGACTTACCCTACTTGCATTCGTTGACCCAAAGTAACCGAAAGTCTTAATCACCCACTAGCCAAATCTAACACCCTCTTTCGAAAAGGTTACTTATTGTATGTTACCGAGATATTGAATTGTGGAGTGACAGAGTCACAATCATACGAACCCAACAATAGTTACATAATTGATAAATGATTTTTTTTTATACGATTTACAATACTTCTTTTAAAAGCTCAGATAGCTTAACTTTCTATGAAATGAGAATAAATTTAACAGATGAATTAATACTTTCACTTCGCCTTATAACTTATGAATTGTACGACTTGTTTTTTTTAATCTGATTGACCAATTTATTAAAATTCGAGATATGATTGATTGATAATAATGTGAAACTATATTTGATTCATCTACGCATTTGAACAGTCGCTCGTGTTTAAATTCATGGCTATTTGGAGTTGGCATGTGTCATTTCTCGATTTCACTGATCGTGAAATGACCCAGGTTGATTCATAATGCAGATCATGAAACTTACAGCAATGTCATAGACAGAAGTTCATCTGATTGGCCAATCAATTCAATTAAATTTTACATTATTTATGCAGTTTAGAGTACTTTTTACAAAATGAAAACAAACCATAATAAAGTAAAAAAAAAACTATATAGAGGGTATCATTAGAGCTATAGGACTCCGTAGTCAAAAATAAGATCTAATTATCGTTCGCTTAAAAAAATTGACTTAGTAATAAGTTGATTTTATGGGGGTTTGAGAAGTTATTACTATACTAGCTTTTTTAAAAGGATGAGAATTGGTTCTTATTTTTGGCTATGGAGTCCTAAAGCTCTAATGAAACCTTTTATATGACTTTTTTATTTCATTCGAATTAGTTTTCGTTTTTTTTAAAAAGTACTCTAAAGCTGTATAAATAATGTAAAATTAAATTTAATTTTTTAGGCAATCAGACAAAAGCCGTCCTAGTATCACCTATAAAAAAATGTAGCTGATGTCACTGATTATCATGTGATAGTAATGTTTAACTATTAATTGTGCGTACGTACATTACAAAAATATATTTAAAAATATTTTCATTAAAAAATTTTTAGCGTTAACATCTAATATGGATGAAAAAAAAATCGATTGTGGTTTATGTCATACAAAACAACCATATGAAAATTATGTAAATGAAAAAGAAAAACAAGTAGCAACTTGTAAAAAATGCCGTAACAAGCAAAAAAGGCCTTTAGAACAAATTCGAATTAAAGAAACCAGAGTTAGAAGTGAATCAGCTATCGACTATGATGACATTGGTGAATTTGTATACAGCTTTTTGGTTTCTTTAGAAGGCATGAATGAAAATTATGAAAGTGATATCCTAGAGTTTTATATGAATTTTGATATTCATTTAGAAAATAAGGAGTCGACAAAATATGAACAATTAGGTCATCAGATAGTATTACATATAGAAAAAGGGGATGGTTATCATTGGGTATATAAATCCAAAAATTTAAATAAAAAGAAAACCCAATTAATTTATTAGTGTAACTGCTGAATAGAACTAGGCAAACTCAAGATTAAAAATCCAGATATTAATAAACAAAGAGACAGATTTACACAACTAAACTGATATGATTGTAAGGGTACAATTTGAATCGAGATTGAAATAGATAGCACTTTAATTAAAGTTGAATATTTATATTCAATCTTACATTTACGACCAATACATAATCAAACTACAAAAGAGATTCGTGAATTTATTCAGCATAATATAAATTTTTCAGCACCTAAGCTCTGGCAATTAATTCAGGAAAAAAAAATTGATAGATACGATTATTTAAGTATTCAACAAACATATTACTGGTGGTCAGTCGAATTTAGAAAGATTTATCAACGTGATTTGAACCCTTTAAAATCTGCATACTTACTATTAAATGAGCTCAAACAAGAAATAATTATTACTCAATCTGCCCCAGTCGGTGCCCTCGGTTTTGAGGCAATAGAAATCAATTCAACATACAATACCAATAATATGGAGTGGAAATTATATGCTTTAATGGGTGTAGTTGATGGAACAGGGTTTCCAATAAGTTACCTTTTAATTAAAGTGGGAAAAAATAGAAATATTACTGAAGTACTTATTAACTGGATGAATAGCTTAAAAATTTGTCAATTAACTGGATTTCCGCTTGTTCTTGTTGATAAGACATTTTGTGAAATAAATGTCATACAAGTAGTATGGCCAGAATCTTGTTTGCAACTATGTGCATGGCATGTATGATGTGCTATAAAGCAAAGACTATGTTCACCAAAAAACATTCGAAATTACAATTATAATCCCATTTTTGCAAATCAAGAATGTTTAGGAATCGATCCAAAATGGGAGGTTCAAGCTAAAAATATAAATACAATTTGTCCTTTGGAATTTCGAAATGATATAATTAATCTTGTTGATCAACACTATAATCGTCACATGTTATTACCAAAGCCTAATGGAGAATTTATAACAAGCTCTAAAGTAATTTGGAAAGAATCGGTTACTGAGATTCATAAATTCTGTTGAGATCATAATTTATTTAAACTTTGGCTTTACTTATGGTTTGAATGGTATTCTTATAATAAATGGATTTTGTGGGCAAAAGCAGTGACTAATAAAATTAACCATATTAAGACGACAATGATCATTGAGTCACATTGGCAACATGTTAAACATAAATTCTTGCATAAGTTTCATCGACCTCATATTGACCACTTATGTTATATTCTTATTCATAAAGTTATTAACCAACAACTTTACCGAATTCGTCTTTTACAACAAAATCGCTATATAATTCCATGGAGAAAAGAGTTCAAAAAGGAATGACGAATGCATGAAAAAAGAAAGTCAGTTTTTCTAATAAATATAAAACAAATATGGAAAATTAAACTTGTTCTTGTTATTTATACATTTCAAGTTAATTTTTTTTATGCAAACATCTTATCATTAAAGTTGGCAAAGTAAATGGTGATTTTTTTAAAAAGGTATGTAAAAATACAAATATTTATATTTTGTGAATTATTAATTATTTTTATTATTTATTTATTTTTTTTTCACAATTACAGGTGCAACAGAATGATAAATATCCAATTATTGGAATAAGAAATGGTAAAATTCAAAATATTTTTAACTTTCAAGACACTCATATGGATATCAAAAAAATTCCTATTGATTATAATTCAGTTGAAACTTATGAAAATGACTTTGTACTTAGTAACGATGATGATAAAGAAAATTCGGATGAACAGGTTTTAAATCATTTGTGTAATATACTTGAAGAGGTAAGTAATATCATGCTTTTTTAAATATAAATATT